CATCTAGTAGACATGAGACTCTACCTAAGGGGGTCAAAATTCTTTTAAAATAATTTGGTGATCTATTTCCTCCCGAGGGTCCAATGAGCCTTCCTACTTTAAGAGGGATAGAGCATCAAATTGATTTGGTGCCTAGGGCTAGCCTACCCAATAGGCCAGCCTATTGGACCAACCCCCAAGAGACTAAAGAAATAGAGTCTCAAGTTTAAGAGCATGTTGTTGGAGAAGGGTTGGGCTCGAAAGAGCTTAAGTCCTTGTAATGTACCTGTGTTGTTGGTCCCTAAAAAGGATGGGAAATGGAGAATATGTTATGATAGTAGAGCCATCAACAACATAACTGTAAAATATATGCATCCTATCCCTAGGCTTGATGACATGCTAGTTGAGATTCATGGAGCCATCATATTCTCTAAGGTTGATCTTAAAAGTGGTTACAATTAAATTAGAATTAATGAAGGAGATGAATGGAAAACCGCTTTCAAGACCAAGTTTGGATTATATGAATGGCTAGTGATGCCCTTTGGGCTCACCAATGCTCCTAGTACTTTCATGCATCTTATGAATCATGTCATAAGGGATTGCATAGGAAAGTTTGTTGTAGTTTAGTTTGATGATATTCTTATATATAGTAGGTGCCTAAGTGATCACATAGGACACTTAAGGCAAGTCTTTAATATTCTTAGGAAAAATTCTCTTTTTGAAAATTTAGAAAAATGTACCTTTTGTGTAGATAGTCTAGTATTCTTAGCTTTTATTATTAGCAAAAAAGGGGTTCATCTAGACCCCAAGAAAATCAAGGCCATCCAAGAATGGCCAACTCTTAAAAGTGTTGGAGATATTAGGAGCTTCCATGGGTTGGCTAGCTTCTATAAGGTTTAGGGTTTAGGGGTTAGGGTTTATGGTTTAGGGTTTAGGCTTTAATGGATAAGTTCACCCATGCACCATTTCTAGCTCTTCTGGATTTTTCAAAAACTTTTTAGCTAGAATGTGATGCCTCTAGGGTTGGCATAGGAGCGGTTTTGTTATAGGGTGGGCACCCAATTGCTTATTTTAGTGATAAACTTAAAGGTATCTCCCTTAACTACCCTACCTATGACAAAGAGCTCTATGCTTTGGTTAGGGCCCTTCAAACTTGGGAACACTATCTCATTCCCAAAGAGTTTGTCATTGATAGTGACCATGAGTCACTAAAATATTTTAAGGGTCAAGGCAATCTCAATAAAAGCATGTTAAACGGGTAGAGTTCTTAGATTAATTCCCATATATGATCAAATACAAGAAAGGGAAAAATAATATTGTAACTGATGCCCTTTCAAGGAGACATACTTTGTTAGTCCCTCTTGGATCTCAAATCTTGGGATTTGATCACATTAAGGAGTTGTACTCCAATGACTCTAAATTTAATGAATCATATACCCAATGCCTAATAAAGCCTCAAGGAGGTTTCTATGTTTCGAAGGGGTACTTGTACAAGGAAGGACGAATTTGTATACCCCAAGGATCCACTAGAAAACTCCTTGTAAAAGAAAGTCATGAGGGTGGACTCATGGGGCTTTTTGGAGTTGAAAAGACTCTAAGTTTTCTTAAAGAAAAATTATTTTGGCCCCACATGGGAAGGGATGTTGAGAGGTTTTGCTCTAGATGTATAGCTTGCTTGCAAGCAAAGTCTAAAGTAATGTCTCATGGCTCCTACACACCCTTGCATGTTGCTAACTCTCCATGGGTTGATATAAGTATGGACTTTATATTGGGCTTGCCCAGGACCTAGAGAGGCATAGATTCTATCTTTGTGGTAGTGGACAGATTTAGTAAAATGGCCCATTTTATACCATGCCACAAGATAGATGATGCAAGCAACATAGCAAGACTCTTATTCAAGGAAGTGGTTAGACTTCATGGTCTACCCAAAACAATTGTGTCAGATAGGGACACTAAGTTCCTTAGCCATTTTTGGAAAACTCTTTGGAGTAGGCTAGGAACTAAACTACTTTTCTCAACTACTTGTCATCTCCAAACTGATGGGCAAACAGAAGTAGTTAATAGATCCCTATCTACCATGTTAAGGGCAATCTTTAAGGGTAACCACAAATCTTGGGATGAGTACTTGCCTCATATAAAATTTGTCTGTAACAAGGTAGTCTATAAGACTACCAAAATCTCACATTTTAAGGTTGTTTATGGTTTTAACCCTCTCATTCCTTTGGACCTAATACCCCTACCTGATTCTTCTCATTATTTTCATAAAAAAAGGGTATGTAGGGCTGATTTTGTGAAGAAATTACATGAGAAGGTTAAAACTCATATTCAACAACAAAATAAGAAAACTACTTTAGAAAAAAGCAAGGGAAAAAAGACCTCATTTTTTAGGAAGGAGATTGGGTTTGGCTTCATTTGAGAAATGAGAGGTTTCCTTCTCAAAGGAATTCTAAACTCAATCCAATAAGAGATGGTCTTTTTCAAGTCCTAAAAGGATCAACGACAATGCTTATAGGTTAAATCTCCCTAGTGATTATGGAGTAAGCAACACTTTTAATGTTAGTGATCTTATTCGCTTTGCAGGTTATGATGATGAGCAGGTCGACCATATAGATTTGAGGATAAATCTTTCTCAAGAGGGAGGGGATGATGGACCATGGGCTAAGGGCTTAATCACTAGAGTTATGGCCAGGAGCATACAAGAAGAGTTGGAAAACTTGAAGACCAATGGGCTTTCTAAGTCCGAGGTACTCTTCATTTGGACTACTCTTTCATGAAGAGAAGGCACAGTTCTAATTGTATATAACTTGTACATAGTTTCCTTGTATAGGCTTATTTTTGCCTTTGTATTTGTAAGGCACTTTATTTCATTTTATAGATCATTGTATATTGTTTCTAGGGTAGGTTACTTAGAGACTTTGATTCTATTTAACCTAATTTTATGTACACTATTTTTCTATTTTATTAGTAGTAGAAGTGGGGTGGCAATTAGCAATACTATAGGGTGTGACTAGTAATTGTGCTAGAATTGGGCCTAGGCAAAATTTTACATATTGGACTCATTTTGTTCCTAATTTTTCATAGATTTGATTTAGCTAGGCCTCGTTATTTTTTGGATAAACCTAATTAAACAAAATCAAACATTTTTGAAATAATCAAAGTGAGCAAAATGGACCCAAGGCCACCTGGCTTGCCTATTCTTTTCTCCTTGGACGAACTGCTTCTCATCTCTTAAAGCTTTGAGAAGTTTGTGCTAAGCAAGCTATGTGAGAAGCTTGCTCCACAAGTTTCTTAACTAGCTTCGACGGTCAAGCGACTCAACCATAGTTCATTTGAACCAAGGTTAAAGTTAGGTTGCTCTCTAAGCTACCTCCTTCTATGTAGTTCTAACTCTAACCTTTTCCCTCACTTTTGATGATTGAATTCCAAATTTACTCTAAAATTCTCACTTTTCAAAGTCACCCAGAATCCGTGTAGAACTTTCTCCTTAGGTTCACTACAAAGGTTTTCAACCTTTGTGCTTGGTTTCATCAAGCTCCATCACTCTCTCAAGGAGTAATCAAGCACTCCTTAGTGCTTCTTCACCATTGAAGAATTCTTCAAAGTGCTTTCGCTATATTCAAGAGTTTAAACCTCACGAACAAAGGTCTTGGATGGTGGAGATTGAAGAACAACAATCCTTCTTCAAATCTCTTCCATCAAATAATAAAAATAACAATAACAATATTAATAATAAAAATAACAATAATAACAATAATAACAATATTAACAATAATAATAACAATAATAATAATAAAATAATAATAATAATAATAGCAATAATAATAACAACAATAATAATAATAATAACAATGATAATAACAATAAAAATAATATTATTATTAATATTAATAATATTAATAATAATAATAATAAGAATAAAAATAATAACAATAACAATAACAATAATAATAATAAGAAGAAGAATAAGAATAATAATAATAATAACAATAATAATAATAATAACAATAAAAATAATAAAAATAACAATAACAATAATAACAATAACAACAATAATAATAACAACAATGATTACAATAATAATAATAATAAAAATAATAATAATAATAATAATAATAATAATAATAACAATAAAAAAAATAATAACAACAATAATAATAACAATAACAACAATAATAACAATAACAATAACAATAATAATACCAAAAACAATAATTCTAATGATAAAAATAATAATAACAACAATAACAAGCATAATAATTATAATGATAATAACATCAAGAATAATAACAATAAAAATAATAACAATAATAAAAATAATAATAAATAATAATAACAATAATAATAAGAATAATAACAATAATAATAATAATAATAATAATAATAATAATGACAATAATAGTAATAACAACAATAACAATAACAAAAACAACAACAATAACAATAACAACAACAACAAGAATAATAATAATAATAATAATAATAATAATAATAATAATAATAACAACAACAACAATACGAAAAACGTACACTCTACTATGGCGAAAGGCGGCACATCAAACAGTGACTCACAACACCCCACCATGGAGGAGATGATGGCATTGATTAACGGCTTGAGAGAGGAGAATGCACGATCCAGAGAAAGAGAGGAGGCCATCCAACGAGAAAATCAGGAGATCAGGAGGCGAGAGGATGAGATACAGGCTATGATAACGACCAATACCCGAACGGCAGATGAAGATGTCATGATGGAAGTTCCTAGGGGTTTTCGACCTTTCTTAGAGGCTATAGAAGCCGAGATAATCCCAAGAGATCATCGGGTCCCCTAGGTGGAACCTTTTGATGGAACCCAGGATCCTAGTCAACACTTGATGGATTTTCGAACACAAATGCTGATATGTGGAGGGAGTATCGAGATTCGTTGCAAGCTATTCATGGGCACGCTCAAAAAAACAGCCCTTGATTGGTTTAGTGGTCTTCCGGATCGATCAATCACCGACTTTGACCTCTTTAGTTGACTATTCATGGCGCAGTTTGCAGCCAACAAGAAGAAACTGTCGATCACATCAGACCTGTTTGATCCGAAGCAGCAACACGAGGAGACGTTGAAGGAATTTCAAAGGTTCAACGAGGTTGCTTTGAGGATAACGTCTTTGGATGAAAGGATGGCGGTCATCGCGTTTCAGAAAGGTCTAAGGTCTGGTGCTTTTGACATCTCGCTTGAGAGGGCAAATTGCAAAACGATGTCGGAGATGAGAGCTTTCTCCCTGAGTCACATCAAGACTGAGGAAGGACAAATCTATAAAAGGGCAGCTGAAAGCCGAGAAGCAGGAGGTAGCAATAAGGAGAGCAACAAACATCTCCGACCACGTTCAGATTGGAGTAAGCGACGTGACCATTATAATGTGAAGGAGGGCAATTACCGACAGATCGATCATGGTGGTCGGCCAAGGGGCGAGTGGACACGCACCAACGACGAAGAGAATTTTACTCCGCTCAATGTTCCTAGGAGGCAGATACTTCATGATGTCAACACTGCATCATTGTTTGAATTTCTAGCAGCGACGGAGTGTCAGTTGGGTCCCTTCAAGATCGACTGGTGTGAGTTTCATAGGACTCATGGACATACAACCGAAAATTATCTTGTCCTTGGTAGGCAGATTGAACGCCTGATCAAGGAAGGGCGCCTGAAATTCGTAGCAAGGAAACAAAAGGAAGGCTCATCGGATAGGCGACACAGACATACGCAGGATGACACAAAGAGGGATCGACATAGAGAAAGGACCCCCTTCAAGGACCCTCCAACAAGGGCGTCAGAAGTCCATCAACAGGTGATTCACGGGGATTTCAACACAGTGGCAGGGGGATTTGCGGGAGGAGGCGTCACCTCAACTGCTCGAAAAAGGTATACATGCTCCGTCCTGTTGGTGTTGAAATTTCACCGATCCCCCCAACCATCGATTTCCTTCTCGGATGCTGACTACAAAGGAGTGGCCCCTCATGAGGATGATCCTATTGTCGTCTCGACAATAGTGATGGGATATAATGTCAAGCGTGTTCTGGTCGACCAGGGAAGTTTGGCCGATATCCTCTTTTGGGAAACCTTCGTGGGAATGAAGATCCCCAACGACCGACTAGTACCCTACACGGGAACCCTAGTAAGTTTTGCAGGAGATCAGGTTATGGGTCAGTTCCATTGAGTTGGATCCTAGAATGGCTCAGTTCGATCACTGACCTGCCCCCGCGGAAGATGTCAAGGAAGTAGTAGTAATGGAAGGAAGAAATGTGAAGATAGGTACTTCTTTAACTCCGGAGGACAAAGAAAGGTTGGTCAGGGTTCTAAAATAAAATGTGTCGGCATTTGCATGGCATTCCAGCGACATGCCTGGCATTGACCCCGATTTCCTGTGCCACAAGCTTGCTATAGACCCTAATGCGAAGGTAGTGGTCCAGAAGAGAAGGAAGTTTGGCGAGGAAAAACGAAGGCCCATTGCAGAAGAAACAAAAAAGTTAGTAATGACAGGACATGTCCGAGAAATCCAGTATCCAACATGGTTAGCAAACATAGTCATGGTGCGCAAGAGTAACAAGAAGTGAAGAATGTGTACGGACTTCACTGACCTGAATAAGGCCTACCCAAAGGACTTATACCCGCTGCCAAACATAGACTGCTTGGTTGATGGAGTGTCGGGGTATGAATTACTGAGCTTTATGGATGCTTACTCGGGGTAGAACCAGATCCAAATACATCCAGCAGACAAAGACAAGACAACCTTCATAGTAGATCAAGCCAATTTTTGCTACAGGGTTATGCCGCTCGGTTTAAAGAACGCAGGGGCAACTTATCAGCGACTGATGGACAAGGTCCTTGTGAATCAACTAGGTCGAAATGTGGAAGCTTATATGGACGACATGGTGGTGAAGTCGGTGAGCATCAATTGGCAGGAGTTGTTCGATACTATCGGCAAGTACCAACTCAAGTTGAATCCTAAAAAGTGCTCTTTCGGGGTCCAAGCAGGGAAATTCCTTGGTTTCCTACTGACTCATCGCGGCATTGAAGCAAACCCTGACAAGTGCTCGACCATCATCAACATGAGGAGTCCATCTACAGTGAAGGAAGTCCAACAACTTACGGGAAGAATTGCTTTTCTGTCCCAATTCCTGTCAAGCGCAGCTAATAAGGCATTACCGCTTTTCAATGCTTAGAGAAGAATGATCGCTTCACTTGGACGACCGAGTGTGAAAAAGTTTTCACGGAACTCAAAAGGTCACTTGCATCGTCGCCAATTTTGACAAAACCATGTCCAAAGATCCCTTTGTTGGTCTACATATCGGCATCCCACCGAGCAGTTAGTGCGGTTCTCGTACAAGAACAGGAAGCTTCTCAAGTTCCTATTTACTTTGTGAGTAGGGTCTTACAGGGAGCAGAGACGAGGTATCAAAAGATTAAAAAGTTGGCTCTTGAAATACTAGTTACCGCGAGGAAATTGAGACACTATTTCCAGAGCTATGAAGTGGTAGTTCGAACTAACTATCCAATCTGGTAAGTCTTGTAGAAGCCCGACCTGGCAGGAAGAATGATGAAGTGGTCGGTTGAGCTATCAGAATTCTCCATCAAGTATGAGCCGAAAGAAGCAATCAAGGCTCAGGCTTTAGCCGATTTCCTAATAGAATTGACTTCTCCCGTTGAGGAGGGTAGTGTCGAAGAAACCCAATGGATTGTATCAATGGACGGTGCTTCGAATCTCGAAGGAAGTGGAGCAGGAATTGTCTTGGAAGGTCCCGGGGGCATATTGTTGGAGAAGTCACTACGCTTTGAGTTCCGAGCGAGCAATAATCAAGCAGAGTACGAGGCATTGTTGGCAGGAATGGTTTTGGCAAAGGAGATAGGGGCGACAAGCTTGTCAGCTAGGAGCGACTCTCAGCTAATCACCGGACAAGTGGCTAGAACTTTTCAGGCAAAGGACCCTCAATTGGCCAAGTACTTGGAAAAGGTTAAACTCCTATCAGAAAATTTCTGAGAGTTTACGCTTAACCACGTACCACGAGAGCAAAATTCGCGGGCCGATCTGCTATCCAAGCTAGCAAGCACAAAGAAGCCAGGAGCCACTTGGTCGGTTATCCAAGAAACATTGGTCCAACCGAGTATCAATAAGCCACAGGGAAGCATTCTTTTTGTCCAAGAGGAGATTGACTCTTGGATGGGGTCGTATATTGCATACCTAACGCGGGGGGATTTACCAGAAGACAAGAGAGAAGCATCATTGATAAAAAGGGAGTCAGTCAGGTTCGTAGTTGTCTCTGAAAAGTTGTATCGAAGGGGTTTCAACATTCTCCTCTTAAGATGTCTCACTGCACCTCAAGCACAGAGAGTAATGCACGAAATTCATGGAGGCATGTGTGGAAGCCATATTGGAGGCCGATCTCTCGTGTACAAAGTCACCAGGGTAGGATACTTCTGGCCAACCTTAAGAAATGATTGTCTAAATTGGGTCCGAAAATGCAATGAATGCCAAAAGCACGCGATTCAACATCATTCACCGGCTGAAAGACTACACTCACTCATTTCTCCCTGGCCTTTTCATAAGTGAGGCATTGACATCTTAGGCCCCTTCCCGATGGTAGTGCGCCAACTGAAGTTCTTGATCGTGGCAGTCGACTACTTTAGCAAGTGGATAGAAGTAGAACCAGTGGCAACAATCTCAGCAGAAAAAGTGAGAACCTTTCTGTGGAAAAATGTCATATGCCGGTACGGAGTCCCACAAGTCTTAGTATCGGACAACGGAACCCAATTCACAAGTAAAAGGGTTCAGAATTTCTGTAAGGAGGTCGGAATCTGAATGATGTTAACATCAGTGGAACATCCTCAATCCAATGGACAGGCAGAGTCGGCAAACAAGATGATACTCTCGAGAATCAAGAAGCGAGTTAAGGATTCAGGTTTGTCGTGGGTGGAAGAATTTTCCAAAGTGTTATGGTCGTATCACACGACTATCCATTTCATCCACTCAAGACACACCCTTTAACCTGGTGTATGGGACGGATGCTATGATTCTAGTTGAAATCAAAGAGTCATCCATGCGCTCAACACGTTTTTCTGAGGAGGAGTCCAACCAAGGAAGGCGAGTTGATCTAAACTTGATTGCCGAAACAAGGGAAAGGGCTCAGATAAATCAGGTAGCGGCGCAACAACAAGCGACACTTAAATACAACTCGAAGGTCGTCCCACGAAGCTTTGCTGAAGAAAACATCTTCTTAAAGCATGCTCAGTTGACTCAAATTAGGAACAAGTTATCCCCTAAATGGGTCGGCCCTTACCGCATCGACGAGGTGGTCGAAAAAGGAGCTTACCTATTGAAGACACTTGATGGCGGGAAGATACCAAGGACCTGGAATGCTGCAAACTTACGTTTTTATTATAGTTAATCCTTTCATTTGTATTAAGTGCACTTTTTTCCTAACTCAGCATTTTTATTCCCTATAAAAATGTGAAAGGGTTTTTCGCTGAGAAGGTTTTTAACGAGGCACCATCAACCAATAATTCCCCATCCCAATAAATATATCACTTCTTATTATGATTCCATGATTATTGACATGTGTTATTTTAAAGGCACAAAAACTAGTGATTGATCGGTAAAAATATGATTGGGCGAGTATAAATAACTCGAAGACCAAACTCGTGATTGATCGGTAAAAATCCAACTCGGCGAGTATAAATAACTCGAAGACCAAACTCGTGATTGATCGGTAAAAATATGATTGGGCGAGTATAAATAACTCGAAGACAAAACTCGGGATTGATCGGTAAAAATCTGACTCGGCGAGTATAAATAACTCAAAGACAAAACTCGTGATTGATCGGTAAAAATCCGACTAGACGAGTATAAATAACTCAAAGACAAAACTCGTGATTGATCGGTAAAAATCCGACTGGGCGAGTATAAATAACGCAAAGACAAAACTCATGATTTTCCTCAACAAATTCAATCGGAAATTGGGCGATACCCATGATGGTTATCAATTATTTCATTCATTTATGAATCGAAAATTTGACGATCGATGGTGAATTTTCTCGCCAAACTGAATCGGATCTTGGACAACTACTCTATTTGAAAGACTTTTAACTTGGATTATTTCATTTACATCTTCGAGTAGTTTTTTTGGGAATCAATGGTGAATTTCCTCACCAAATTCAATCAAAAATTGGGCGACACCCATGATGGTTATCAATTATTTCATTCACTTATGAATCGGAAATTTGACGATCGATGGTGAATTTTCTCGCCAAACTGAATCGGATCTTGGACGACTACTCTATTTGAAAGACTTTTAACTTGGATTATTTCATTTACATCTTCGAGTAGGTTTATTGGGAATCAACAGTGAATTTCCTCACCAAATTCAATCGAAAATTGGGCGACACCCATGATGGTTATCAATTATTTCATTCATTTATGAATAAAAAATTTGACGATCGATGGTGAATTTTCTCACCAAACTGAATCAGATCTTGGAAGACTACTCTATTTGAAATACTTTTAACTTTGATTATTTCATTTACATCTTCGAGTAGTTTTTTTGGGAATCAACGGTGAATTTCCTCACCAAATTCAATCGAAAATTGGGCGACACCCATGATGGTTATCAATTATTTCATTCATTTATGAATCAGAAATTTGAAGATCGATGGTGAATTTTCTCACCAAACTAAATCGATTCTTGGATGACTACTCTATTTGAAAGACTTTTAACTTGGATTATTTCATTTACATCTTTGAGTCGGAACTATGGTGACAAAAGGCGAATTTTCTCACCCTAACTTGCACTATTTCCCTTACCTCATTTAAATCGGAATGTTGGCGATCAATAGAGAATCTTTAATTAGGTCATTTTTCTCACCAAACCGAGATCGGCATATAGGCGACCTTAATTGGAAATCGGGAGACTCCTGTATTGGTTAGTTTGTTTCATTTGTGTTCCGACCAAAAGGTGGACTAGGGTTTCTGCCTAGGTCAAGCCTCAAAGCCAGAGCATTCAAAAGTGTAATCTGTCGTCTCAACTCTAGGGTTTTAGGTTTTATAGTTTCTTGTTTATGGCCTCATGGGCCCCGAGAATGTAGGAATTTCCTTAACCTTTCTTATCCGTAAGATACTTAACAAACAAGGGTGGTGCCTTAGTCTTGTCCTTGCAGTAGGATAGCATCTATACGGGGAGATCGGATTGGTTCCCGACCGACTAGAACCCTCCAGGGGATCCAGTCGATTATTGACTGAGTAGGTTCTTAGGCGAGCGGGATCGGTATATGATCGGCCAAGCTTCTGTTATGGGGTCCAGTCAGATATAGACCGAATGCCTCCAAAAGAGGGAGTCGGTCTGGGTTCTTGTCGGTCTGTCGCATGTGGTGAGCTCAGGTCAGACTACATCCACATGTCGAATACCGACCGACCCAGTTTGAGCCAAAACACCAAGTCAGATATAGACCGAGCACCTTGTAGAGAAGGGGTCGGTCAAGATTTCAATCGGCCTGTCGCGTGTAGATAGGTAAGCCAGATTCTGACTGGAACGGTACACTTGCCTTCCAGCCCTAAGCCTATAAGTTGAGAGGGCTTAAGGCCTGGCTCTTATGGATCATATCGGAAATAAACCGAGAGGTAAGTCGGATTTTGACTGGCACGGTACACTTGCCTTCCAGCCCTGAGCCTATAAGGCGAGAGGGCTTAAGGCCTGGCTCTTATGGATCATATCGGAAATAAACCGAGAGGTAAGTCGGATTCTGTCCGGCACGGTACACTTGCCTTCCAGCCCTGAGCCTATAAGGCGAGAGGGCTTAAGGCCTGGCTCTTATGGATCATATCGGAAATAAACCGAGAGGTAAGTCGGATTCTGACCGGGACGGTACAGTTATGAACTATGCAAGGCTTATTGTTTTCAATTATGCCCCTGTTTTCAGAGATATCGAGAATGGATTTGCGAGAAATTTCTAAGTTAAAAACTTGTCATATTTGAAAAGGCAGTCGCCTACACGCCGATTTCATACGCTGACCACGAAAATGAGTGAAAAAATTTCTAAGTTAAAAACTTGTCATATTGAAAAGGCAATCGCCCATATGCCGATCTTAATGATCAATAAGAATTTTCTATAAGTGCAAAGTTGAATATTTTGAATCGAGTAATCGCCAATACGCGGATCATGATAGTGAATGAGAATAATTTTCTGAGTTTAGAGTTGAAATACCGGACCAGGTAGTCGTCGTTATGCCGATCGCAATAATGAATGAGACATTCCGGTCTCCTTAAAAATTAAGAAAGTAATTCAGAATTAAAAGTATTGTTGAACGATGAGGTCGTCCTAATTCCGATCTCATGAAGAATAGTTCAAATAATTCCAAGTTTAATATTGTTGGTGATCAAAGAGATCGTCCAAATTCCAAACTCTTTTAAAAATAAAGAAAAATAGTGGGGGTCTTCAAAATGCCGACCTTATGGTTAATCAAATCCCTTCCGAGTTGGTCTTCAAGTTGTTTATACTCGTCCAGTCGGATTTTTACCGATCAATCACGAGTTTGGTCTTCAAGTTGTTTATACTCGCCCAGTCAGATTTTTACCGATCAATCAAGAGTTTGGTCTTCGAGTTATTTATACTCGCCCAGTCGGATTTTTACTGATCAATCACGAGTTTGTCTTCGAGTTATTTATACTCACCCAGTCAGATTTTTACCGATCAATCACGAGTTTGTCTTCGAGTTATTTATACTCGCCCAGTCAGATTTTTACCAACAATCACGAGTTTGGTCTTCAAGTTATTTATACTCGCCCAGTCAGATTTTTATCGATTAATCACGAGTTTGGTCTTCGAGTTATTTATACTCGCCCAGTCAGATTTTTACCGATCAATCACGAGTTTTTTTTTCGAGTTATTTATACTCACCCATTCGGATTTTTACCGACAATCACAAGTTTTTTCTTCGAGTTATTTATACTCGCCTAGTCAGATTTTTACCGATCAATCACGAGTTTGTCT